TGGCAGGCTCCAAGTTAGAAACAAGATGCATGGCGGAGGAAAAGGTACTCCACCCATACCACCCAGGAAAGGGAGAAGGACCGGGACAAAAAATAAACCCTAGGCACACCTACAGTTGCCACCCTTTGGACCAGGCCCCAAACTCCTAGTAAACATTCAGCTCTGAATTCTTCAGTGAGTTAAGTCACTGAGATGAACAGCACTCCCATAGTCCAAACACCTTGCAGAAGCTCAACCTCTGAACACAGGAGACTCTTGTGAGACATTCCAGATCTAAACTATAACACATTTATAATATGCCCTTCAGTAATCACCTTTTTCTATTATTAGTACATGTTTTCAGTACGTAATGTTTCCATTCCACGTGTGGGACTGGTGCATGTACATAACATCTTCATTTCTTTTCTTCCCCCCATTTCCCTGCCCTTCCTCCCCACTCCCTCCATGTCTTGGCCTCCTTCCCCTTTGAGCAAGATCTATCTCCATACTTCCAGTTATCTCTTTTATTTTACTCTTTATTTATAATTTTGCTTTTTGCATTAAAAAATCATTTGATATTAAAGTTTATGTCTGGTTTATTTCACTTGCCATTATGTCCTCAAGGTGCATCCACTTTCCTATGACTGACTCAACTTTATCTTTCTTTATGAGAGAGTAGTGTTCTGTTCTGTGCAAATAGCATGTTTTTAATCCATTTTTCTACTGCTGGACATACAGGCTGCTTTCAAGATCTAGCTGTTAAGAGTTGTGCTGCTAAAACAAGGGTATGAATGTATCACCTTAATATAATGTCTTTAACTCTTTCTTGAAGATACCTAAAGAGGGAATAGCTGAGTTGAATAGAACTTCTAATGTTAAGTTTTTGAGGAATCCCCATACTGATTCCCATAGGGGTTGTATTAGTTTACATTAATACCAACAAGTGTGAGGTGGTGCAGGCCTGTAATCCCAGCACTTGGGAGGCTGAGGCAGGAAGATCTCTGTGAGTGCAAGACCAGCTTTGGTTACAAAGTGTGTTCAAGGCCAGCCTGAACCGCATAGTGAAACCCTGTCTCAAAAAGCCTGAACTGCATAGTGAAACCCTGTCTCAAAAAGACAACAAAACAAAACAAAAATAACAACAATGTAGAAGGGTTCCTTTTTCCCTATAGCCTCTCCAGTATTTCTTACTCTTTGAATTTCTTGAGGATGATCATTCTTTCTGGAGACCATTCATAACTTTTCCATTATTCTTTCTGGAGACCATATGTAATATTTTTGCCAAGAATCTTTTCAATTATCTTTCCAAGCATCCCTCTCTACTATTTCAATGATAATGTCATTTTTATGGAAAACACAAAGGTTACACATTCTCTGTATTAATGCTTGACAAAAATTTTCTCTGGAATACCTCTGGTTGAAAAAGCGAGGTGCAGCCAGGTATGATGGCATGTGCCTGTAGTCCTAGCACTCAGAAGGTTGAGGCAGGAGGAGCACTGTAAGTTTGAGGCCAGCCTGGGCTACACAGAAAGTTGAAGGCCAGCTTGTACTACATAGTGAGACACTGTCTCAAAAAAAATAGAAAAGGAGAGAGGCAAAACTTTTCTGGGAACAGTAAGGCAAGTTTTCCTCAGAGCTTGAGGCTGAAAAAGAGCTATGAATATTGCTATTATAGGGCTTAGGTTGTTCTGATTGTGAAAAGCAAACACAGACATTAATTTGTATGAATACTGTTTGGGTAAACCAAGGCACAGTCGAGAACACCAAGACAGCCAGAGTTTAAGCAACATTTGAGGACTTTATTACAGTCTGAGTGTGGCCAGGCCAAGAGCGAAAAGACCATTGGCCCCGAGCTCTCGAAGGTGAATAACAGATCTGCTTGGGAAGTTTTTCTCTCCTAGCAGGGCAGGGGTCTAGTTTGGAGACCTGACATTCCTGTCTACTGTGTTATAGAAAAAGAAGAGGAGTGAGGGGTGTAGATTCTCCGAACTTCTTCAGGCATGACTGGGGGCTGCGCGGGCATCCTAGAAAGAGAAAGAGAAGAAAGGGGGAGAAGGGCTGGGCTGGTGGCAACGTGACAGGGCACCGGATCCAGGCGAGGCAGCTGAGTGCTGGGAGCATGCTGATCTTTGGTTCTTGCTGTGGGTCTGCTTGGGGGTCCCATGGGGCAGCGGTGTAACAGGCCATCAGGAGTTGCTGTCTGGATGTTACGGATCGGATTTGTCCTTGGATGAAATCTGTTGAGAGTTTCATTATGTAAGGTCCAAACAAAATCAAAAGAAAGACTGGGACCAGGGGCCCAAGTATGGGGAAAAGCCAGGACATCCAGCCAGTTTGGAAGAAGCCTCCTCCCCAACCCGTAGTGGGGTCACCCTTTGCCAGTTATCTAAACTGGCAGCTTGGGCCCAGAGACTTTGGACAGTCTGATGGATAAAAACTAACCTGTTTATGTAGAAGCAGCATTCTCCGAGGAAGATGCAGGCGCCTCCTTTCTCTGCAGTAAGGAGATCCAGAGTTTGGAGGTTCTGGAGGGCCAGCATGGCCAGAGAATCCACTTCCATTCGCATGGCCAGGATGAAATCAGAACTCTTCTCAAGCCCCTCAGACATCTCTTCTGAGAGCTGCTGGCAGGTTGTGGAGACAGCTACTCCTGCAATTCCTGTCCCCAAGCCCGCAGAGACGCCAAGGCCTGCTGGTAGGAGTTCGAGCATTGGGGCCCTTGGGCATTGTCCGAAAGGCGTATGCACAGGGACTGCACGTTTGGTTTGTCCAGAGACTATAGCTGTTTTGCGGGTAAGAAATACTAGGGTGCAGGTCCCAGTCCAGTTGGCAGAAAGGCAATGGTAGGCAGAAGTTCTGCAGACCCAAAATAGCCCTGTAGTATTCAACTAGAAACAGTTATGTTTCCCAGCACTCAGGAGCCTGACGCAGGAGGATCACTGCAAGTTCAAGGCCAGCCTGGGCTACAAAATAAGTTCAAGGCCAGCCTGAACTGCATAGTGAGACCCTGTCTCAAAAAGAACAAAAAAAAAAAAAAGAAGAAGAAAAAACAGTTATGTAAGTCTAGAAGGTGTTAGGGTTTGGTCCTTTGGGGTCTTTTTCCCAGATACCTATGGGGACAGCTAGGGCTGCTCCTGTGAAAGGGGGAGCACACCCTGGGTGAGAGTTTTTAGTTTTTTGGCTTTGTTTCCCCCAAAGAACCTGTTGGTATATATTTATTTTTTGGTACCAGGAATTGAACTCAGTACCTTGCACTTGCCAGGCAGGCACTTGTGCCACAGAGCTAGATTCCCAGCCCTCCTCTTGGTATCTATCAATATCCATTCATATGAGTTTTGGAGATTGGGCAGGAGAAGGCAGGTCGCTGGAGTGGTTGCACAATCTGGTCTGACATTCTCTATGGTTCCCGACACTGCCCGTGGAGACCACCTTCCAATTATAACATATGGGAACTGGCAGCCTTTGCAAAAATGTGACTGTTACAAAGTTGGGAGGTGTCTACAGTTGGGGGTCCTGTCATACACAAAGTAGTTGAGGATTAAGGAAATCAGTGTGGTGATTTCCCAAAAAAACTAGGACTGGAGGTCCCATTTGACCCAGCTATTCCCCTTCTGGGTATCTTCCCAGAAGAACTGAAAACATCATGCCACAGAGATATATGTGCACCTATGTTTATAGCAGCACAATTTTTCATAGCTAAATCTTGGAAACAACCCAAATGTCCATCAACGAAGGAATGGATAAAAAAATGTGGTCTTTTTATATCAGGGGGTACTGCTCAGCTATAAAGAGAAATAAACTCGAGGCTTTTATCAGTAAATGGATGCAACTCGAGACGATACTCGTAAGTGAAATAAACCAGACCCACATGTGTAAATACAGTATTGTCTCCCTAGTGTGAGAAGCTGAAAGAGTACATAAAGTCCCCAAAATGTGCAATACATATTGTAAAATGGGAAACACTTCAAAAGTAAAGGGAAACTCGGTCAGGGGAATGAAGAAAAACAGGTAGGGAAAAGCAAAAGGAATATATATATAAAAGTTAAAATAGTTATAATACTAATTTCTCTTAGTTCATTGAAAAGATAGGTTTATGCTAATATTGTCTGAACAATTCAATGCTGACATTTTGTACTTTGAGTAATTAATTTAAAGATAACAATACACAATGTATTAATCATTGTTACCCACCATCA